TCCCCAGAGTCCACGGAACGAAGAGAAAATTTACCCTTCGCCTACCCACGGCCTATCTCAGAGTCTGCCATTCTGGGTGACTGCTTTCCAGGCAAGCCTCATCCGCTGCTTTTGTCACCAAGCCTGACATCCAAGCTGCTTCAAGGCACAGTGATCTACCTCCCAAAGCCGGTTCCTTTTGTTCCAAAATCACACGACAAATAGGCACCAACTACAGAATGCAGCTGAGCTTCAAGAAGCTTCATCTGTCTGTCGTTTTGTAGCGTTCCCCTAGCCTGAGATTAGGTGGTGTTTCCACATCTTACCTGGGAGCCTTGCTCCTGACTGCTAATACAGGTGCACCCCCCCCACACACACACTTTCTCTGTCACACAAATAATCATACTCAGGACAGAATGTTCATATACAGAGACACGGGAAATTGTATCACTCTATATTCACACATAAATAGCCATAAGCAGGGTAATATATTACATATGTTTGTGTGCGCATTCACACACACACACACACACACACACACACACACACACAATCACAGGGTGTCCTGTCTCTTTATGTCACAGTGTTGTTGGAGCCAGAGCAGAATAAGCATCCCTCCTCCCAGAGCATTCACCAGGCTGAAGGAAGTAGGAGGCTGAATCCAGCCCAAGCCTCTATGTCCCTGGGCTTCTCTGAGAACAAAGACTGAAACTCATGTGGGTAGTTGTTCTCTATCCAAGTCATTAACCGGTTCATTCAGGCAGGTGGCTGTCCCAGGCAAAGGAAATTACACACCGCGGAAGTCATCTCTCCCCTTTGTAACTAACTGTATGCAAAGAGCTTGGCTTGCCAGTTTCGGCCATTTTCATAAAAGTTGAAAACCTCAGTGAGTCCAGGTCCGCAGGAGGCTGCCTGTCAGGGGCAGGGGCTATCCGCAAGTGGCTTCTGAAGTCTCTCTGTGGCACAGGTGGCTCTTCTGTCCAGCGTGACATGGAGCCACTTGTTTGCTGAGCTATTATACAGGTTTTCATAAAGCCCCCCCCCTTTTTTGTTAGTGTTAAATTTTAATAACTTGGGTTATAGGCAAGGTAGAAACAATATCTAAATGGCATTTAAAAGCAAATCTATTAAATTTTAGTGTAACTGCATTACATGGCTGGAAATATCATCATTTGGATCCCATGAGGGGGCGGGGTAGCCACTGAACGGGGGAGGCACAGTGCATGCTTTGGAAAACACAATCTAAGCCTAATGTCATGGCCGAGAAGGAGCCTCTCTGCTCATTACCAGAAAGATTGTTTTTATCTTACCTATAACTAAAGTTATTAAAGTTTGAGAACTATAAAACGCTTAATGAGAAACTACAGGATAAATGATAGCAACTCACTCCTGGACTGGTATTTGCTGATGATTAACTCCAAATCTCTTTTATAAGACAGCGAGCCTCCCTGTTTGCAGGGTGTCCCACTCGTGAGAGTGTAATGACTAGCCGGTTAAAGCAGGCAGTTAAAGATTAACTGGGTAGCTATGGAAACTGCCATGCTGTCCCAGGGGAGGCGAGGGGTGTGGCTTGAATCTGGAACACCTCCACTTGATGGAACTGCTTGGATGTTTGGCCCATAGGTTCATGTGTCTGGACATGGGGTACCCAGCTGGAAGTATCCCTCTGGGGGGGCTGTAAAACTTTCAGATGGCTCGGGTGCTTCATCGGGAAGGGCTTTGAGAGTGGAAGCCTGGCTTTGCTTCAGGTCCATCCCAGTCTCTGCTTTCTAGTCTACCACGACCTAACAGGCCAGGGTTCAAGCTCCCACCACTGTGGGCAGAGCTGTGGCAGGCTCTTCAGGATGGGTTCTCAAACTGTGGGTCGTGACCCCTTGGGGGTCCAAGGACCCTTTAACAGGGGTTGCATATCAGATACCCTGCATATCAGATACTTATATTATGATTCATAACAGTAGTAAAACAAAAAATACTTTTCTGGTTGGGGGCAACCACAACCTAAGGAACGGAATTAAAGAGTTGCAGCATGGAGAAGGTTGAGAGCCACGGCTCTACCCCTTCCCAGCCAAGGTGGTTATGGACCATAATCTAAGAAATCTTCAGCCCCGTTGTGTCGCTTTTGTCACAGAAACTCGGATTTCCTCCATGCCCTCCACACAGAGAGCCCTCTGATGGGGTCAGAGGAAGTAGACCCAACATGAGAGAAGCCAAGGGAAGCACAGTGAGGCTGTGGCATGCTGCCAGCTGTGGAGATAACGCATCTCAGCCACCCAGGTGACAGGTTTAGTTCCTACACTGCCGACTGAGGACACACACCAATACAATTCAGTTGGCCGCTGCTTTATAGGTGGATGGTGGTGGAGTTGCTACCCCAGTTCATCTGGATGAGGAATTAAGGCTCTGTTTCACAGGACTATGAACTTTGTTGGCCACAGACCATCTAATGGGCCCCATCCCGTTTTGCAAAGATGTCTGTAATCATTCTGGATTCCCCTTTGATGGAACTGCCTGCATTTTGCTGAAGATAAGCAGTTAGATGTATCCAAGAAACAGATCCAAGATTCTAATGCCCAAGGGCCATCCTCAGAGAGTCTAATCTTGTTAGTTCAGACTGAGGCTGAGATTTCATGCTTTTGCAACTCCTAAGGTTGCACCCAGGCTGAGAAGCATGAGTTTGGACCCACCTTTTCAATCTGGCCTGGACATGGGGGAGTTTTAAAGGTTCTGACACCTGAGTCCCACCTGCAAGGATTTTGCTGTGTCTGCTCTAGTGTGTGACCTGGCTACAGGGGTCATTACAGTTCACCGCCAAGTGTGTCAGATTGGCAGTTGAGGCTAAGACTCCTTCCATCTTTGGAGGGTGGTCATGATAAAGCCTGCAATTCCAGGAGGAGTGTGTGTTGGTTGAAAGTGATCATCTATATTAAGAGGATCTCTCCTGGGTGTATCTCAGGGGTTCCAGGAGAAAGGAATATTGACTCACTGTGTTCTTGGGAAGACTGGCAGTATGGAGGCATCTTATACAAGGAGATGGGGCTTCCCAGAGTTCCAGAGTGGAGACAGGGAGCAAGCTAGAGCTTTCTAAATTTCCACAAGACACATAAAGTCTAGGGACTTTGACAAGAAGCTGGAGATGGAGGGGGAACTCAACAGAGTGAGTTGGAATCCGGAGTTAAAAATCTGGCCTGGCTGCCAGGTGGAGAGAGCTTTCTATTATCCTCTAAGCTGTGAGCGATCTTTGAGGGATTGGGGGAATGGGGAGGATATGTCTGGGGGGGATGAGATTAGGAGTTATGTAATTTGAAGAGGAGGCAGAATGGGGTGACTGGCTAAGCACAGCTCTATTAAGTCAAGAGAGACAGTTCTCTCTCTCACTTTTTTTTCTTATGAAGACTAAAAACAATCAGACTGTTAATCTGTGCTTCCTCGAAGGTCTCACTTGCTGTGAAAGGATGAAATTCTGCTCAAAGGGATTTCAAACCCTATTGTGAAAGTGGTTTTGTAAGAGTGTGAGTATGAGGAGGTCTTGGTGAGTGGTGGGTAGAAGGTGTTAACAATTCAATTATAAAACAGTGTCATCCGGAAAGCACATCTCTCTGAACGGATTCGGAGCTCTAACTTAGCGGTTAGGCTGTAAGGTAGCAATTGTCTTGAAGAGCTCTCCTAGTCTTCTGAGAGGAGGAACTATCTGACTGCTCTTTGGTCTCCTGTATCTAGTTCTATCTGCCCAAAGAGACAGTGCATAGATAGGTTCAGCAGTGAACAGGAGACTTTTGGCAGCAAACGCCTTTTCCTACATCAATGGCAGTGGTTGGACAGAGTACCAACCAGCTCAGATGAGTCTGCAAATATGACCCTATATCCCTCTATTGGGAAACACCACACACACACACACACACACACACACACACACACACACCCCTTCACTAACCACTGCCGACCATGGCTTCACAGTTCTCTCCCTGTTCCATCGTAAGCTTGCAAACATCCATGGCACCAAGTCTGAGCTAGGAGTGAGGGAGGGAGATAGCTTTATTAGCTGATCACTTCATTAGCTGATCCATACCACTTCCTTCTGTTATGTAAGAACGTTGTACAAATCCTTAGGCAAGAATTTGTGTAAGAAGGATGTGGCTCTTCCTTAAATTAAACATGATGATGGAGGCAAAGCCTGGCTCCATGTGCAGATTCCCAGGAGAGACTCCTTGCTGCAGAGGGGAATGTCTATTAGCTTTCAGCCAAAATAAAGGTCACCAGATGAGAGCCCCCCCATCCAACTCTTACTACCTTGAACATGCAGTATAATCAGGCACGATGTGTCACACTCAGGAAACCGATGGTGCAATTATATAAAATATGCCCACTGCATCACAACCCTTTCCCTACTCTCTCAAGATGCTCAGAATGTCAAAGAGCCTGGGGCCTGGCCTGGGAGAGGGAAGAATGGATATCTGAGTTTATGGGTTCCTGATCATGGGGTTTGCTCTCTCGACTCCTGATTTAAGGAAGTGACAACCCAGCACCTCCTCTGAACCAGCCAAGAATCCGAAAATCCCTGTGGGTGGAATGCACTACAAAGGTCATAGTATGAATCTGAAGCTGTATACTTAGGTATGCAAGGCTGAAAATCCCTTCACTTTTCCATTAAAACGCAACAGCTAATTTAAACCTTCATTTTCTCCTGCAAAGATTAACATCAGATAATTTGAGCGTCTTTCCTGGGAGTGGTCTAAGTTACTGAGCAATTGTGCCTTTATGCAGAGGCAAAAGCCTGGGTGGAGATGGAAGGGTCCAGTCCTGATCCTCACGCTGTGCAGACATCTACCTACCACAGACTGTCTCGTCCTTGCATATCCATCTACAGGTCACAGCACCCAGCAAGAAGGTCATCTTGACAGGACATAGAACCTGAGACACAGAAAGAGGTTCTCCATTCAGGAAGAAGGTCATATTTAGGAAGCACCTTTACACTTCCATATTATTGTGTGGAAGAAGTACGTGTACACCCTAGAACAGATGTGATGGGGTGCACAAGTGGCAGTCAATGGGCATCTTTGAGGACTCAGTTCTCCGCTTCAACCACATCAGGCTTTGGAAATCAAACTCGAGTCGTGAGCAATTCACCGCTGGCGGCCATTTATGAAGATGCAGACACTGAATGGCACAGATCTAAGAAATGGGAGGAGGTGGAGCCGCAGCTGTCCTACAGAGAGTATCAGTCTGGGGCCATGTCTGAGACCACACACACTTTCCAGTTACACATCTAGTCTCCCTTTTCTGCTCCCAGGCATCTGAGCTGGAGTTCTGCCTCACGCAACCCAGAAAACAACTGAGTGGAAATCTGTGGGTGGAAAATCGAGGAAGAAATAAATCATTCCAGCCTGTGAGACTGAAGAGCAGGGTAGGTGTAAATGTGGCTGGGTCTGGCATTTGCCCAGTTTTGAGAAAACCATGGAGCATTACCAATACACCAATAACCACAAGGCCTCCAAGGGCCCCTGAAGATCAGAGTTATGAAACAAGCTTCCTTGGTCTCCAAGGAATCAGGTGGCCCAAGGACTGACCTCTAGTCTCCTGGAAAGTCATTGGTTAAAATCCATCTGTATGTCCCAGTTTCATTACCAAAAGCAAGACGGCTGGTTTAAACTAAATCTCATCCAGTTAAAAACTAATAATAATTCCAGGTATGTATAGTTTCTGTTCTAGTAAAGACATTGCCTTAAATTGGAGATATTTTTTGAGAATTTTCTATATGAGTACTGTGTTCACATCATCTCCACCTTCCCTCTCTCCGCTCCAGCTCTTCTCTTGCTCTCCCAACTCCATCTTAAATTCATGACCTCTTCTTTAACTATCATTTATTAATGTGAGTGTGTAAATGTTGACATGGTTCTTTCTTCAGTTAAACATGATGATGAAGGCAAAGCCTAGCTTGATTGATCAACTGGATGACAGATAAACACACACTGTCAGACACACACTCAAGCACACACATTCACACACACACACACAGGCACTCACATGCACACAATGCAATACACATGGTCACACACATGCGCACTTACACGAACACACAACTGCAGTGTCCATCTATTGATGCTCAGATGTATATGAGTTTAGGGCTGACTGGGTCTGTATAACCCACCAGGGAGTTATAGTAAGTAGACTGATCCTCCCTCTCTCAGCAGCTGGTAATTGCCGTCGTCTCTTCATCTAAGGGTGGGATTTGCAAAATTCTCTCCAGTTGAAATTAGGAATTCTTGATACTTGCTTGAGTGAAACTCTCTTTGTCTGATCAGACTTGCATGGGTGTTGACATGGCATTGTATATCTCTGCTGTAGGCTGCGATGCTCATCAGTTAATACTACCCCAAGATTCAAGCCAAAAGGCTCCTCTGCTTCTGCCTGTTTGGGTAGTTGTAGGACCAAGGAACAAGAAGAGGAATCCAGTACAGCAAAGAATTGTACCTTATGAAAAGTTTTTGCTCTGGCTGGCTGGGCAGAAAAGCTTTCCTAAAGAATGTTTTCATACAAAATTTCTAAAATGCTGAAAATACAATAAGATGAACGGCCCCTGGAGGCTATGGCTTAAATATTTTATCTTCTCAGATATCAGTTACACTGCACTTCCCTCCAAGGATCTAAAGTCTTTTAAATATAGCATCTAATTAATCCTCCTGCCATCAATAAATGGCACGGCATTGTTACCCTAATTTCACAGGTGAGGACACAGGACCTCCGAAAGGATTCAGAGGTAGCGACAGCCCAGTGTCAGTCAATGGAAACCCCTGTCACACTGCTGGTGGCTGGCCCAACAGGATATCGCAAGAGAAAACCGCCTGAAAGCTACTACCTGCTATACACCCCACAGAGTGTGATGCCGTGAGAGGGCTGGGGACATCTCTGATGCCTAGAAGTGGACCAGAAAGGGAAAGATTCAAGATCCAGTTGATGCCACATAGCTAAGGCATCATTTCATCCACTCATTTTTATAAACAAGGCATTATTTGAAAAATAAGCACTTTGATTAATAAAGTTGGTTCAAATGAAATGCTGTTTTCTCTCAAATAACTAGATGACATTGCAGACCTAAATCAGGCCCCACTGCATGCTTCCAGATGAGCAGGCTCTGAGCACACATGGTGTTTCCTCCCAGCCTGTGATGAATTCATTCTCATTCTTACATCATAGAGGCAGACAATGAGCTTGAAGATCCAATCAGATCAGTTCAACCTAGGAAGGGAATAGCAGGGCCTGGGAGTCTGCCATTGTCACTTTCCAGTTGCTCCCATTGTTCACTTTTCAAACCATTTTGATAGTTTAGATGCTGCTTTCAGTAACATGGCTGTCACCCGCTGAGAAAGCACAAGAGAAGCTCTGGAGAAAGATACTTCTACTCCATCAAAATTTGCCTTTGCATGTGGGGTTTGAATATGGATCTTAGAAAGGAGTTTTTAAAAAAGTTTCTCAGAGGAAGCCAGCATTCTAGTTATCCAAACTCAAAACTGCTCAGTTCTCAATCTCTCCCTAAAAACAGAAGAGTGGCCAAAGTCCCAGGGCTGTGCAAAAACTTCAGACCCACGAAATTCAAATTCAGACGTAGAGCTTAGAGCTGCCAGAAGGGGGAAATAATTGAAGAGGAAGGGGGCAAGGGAAAGAAAGGAAGAAGGAAAGAAGGGAACAGGGAAAGAGACAAATGTTAGACAGGGGGATAGATTGCTGATAGAGATAGAGAAGTGGCTTGATATAGGGAGGAGACAGAAGGAAAACAAGAGGCACTTAGAAGTAGATGATACAGGACCAAAGCATATACACAGACACTACATGATTCGCAGACAGATGATATATAGATAGAAGATGATAGACAGATGGTGGATATATAGATGATAAAAGATATAGAAGTAAATGAATGATGGGTGTATACATAAAATAAACAGATGATAGAGGACAGAAATAGATTGATAGATTATAGATGATAGATAAATAGATATAGATGATAGATAGATAGATAGATAGATAGATAGATAGATAGATAGATAGATAGATAGAT